TATTTCTGCATTTTGTCTAAATAAAAATCTTTAATTGTACTTGTACTGAAAAATTACTTGAGTGAAATTAGAAAATATTTTAAATATTGTTGATTTTTAATTGACTAAATTCATTTACGTTTTTTCAATGGATTAAAAACTTACATTGATTCTAAGAAATTTAACAAGGCACGTTCTTTGTACTGCATTGATGACTATGTAACTGCTTTAAATTTAAAAACTAAAAAAAAAACTTGTTCTAAAATTAGCCATATCCAATCGGTATATAAAAAAAACTTTTTTGAAATGTTAACAATGCTGCTGCAATCATGTGATTAAAACGGTTGCTACTTCTTTACAGTCCACTCATCTCCATTTATTGGATATTTAATTTGGGAATTGTAAACGTGTAAGTCATCACTTTTCATTCACAAAGATTTTATTTTGAATTGATTGTTGTTTCTTTTCGATACTTTGATTTCTAAAATAATAAATATCTAACCTCGTCTTATTAAAGAGAGTGAGAAAGAGAGAAAAATGAAACAAAACATCTTAAAATTTGCAAAATGCGAAAGAACTAAATCTTTATTAAAAGTAAATTAATAAACCCAGACATAAAGCACCAGAACAATAAAGATAAAAAGAAGTTTTATAGACACAAACTTCAATTTTATCTGAAGCTTAAAATTGAAACACTCTTTATACATGAAGAGAAATGTATGTTTTTAAAACTAAAATTCACATTAAAGAAATGACTTAGCGTTAAAGAGAAACAGGCAGATTGAATGCAGAGTTTTCTTTACTTTCAATTTATAAGTTTAAAATGTTCTAAATTATATTTGGCACTATATACTTAAACTTTTCGAATAAATATATCACATTCATACAAGCCTTTTTCTTTCGTTTAAAAATACAAAATGCATTTTATCGAGGTAAAAAAATACTTCAAATTAGTTGTACCAAATTACTTTTGAAAAGTTTCACCTAAGAACTTTAATGTGCTGTTACTTTACTTTTTTTATAGGTGTGCAATTTTTCTAACAATGAAAAATTGTTAAATAAAGTTTAGAAATTTAATGTTCTTTTTTATTTTGCCCCTGGAAAGTCACAAGTTATTTTGATCCAAAGTGAAGTATTTTTATCATATTTAGTGTTTTCCAACATTCTTTTATATTATCTCTAAATTTTTTTTGTTTTAATTTAATATTTATATCAATATCATTTTGGTGACATCGCATAAAAAATACTCTATTGGGGATTTATTTTATTTAATTCTTACGGATTTTTTTACTATACATAAGCGCGAGAAGATACCAAATGAAAGAAAAAATATCACTCATTCAAAATAACAAAAATATCTAAAGAAACTTAATGAATTTAGAAGCACCATATTATAGCTTTATCTATTAACACCAAGGGCAATTTTAGTGATAGCGGATGTCCGATATGAGGTTAAGTATAATTGTTATTGTAAAAATCAGAAGTATGGTAAATCTTAGGCTTTACCGGTAAAACATAGGACTTACTAAAATGGCTTGGTGAAAGTCCGTAGTTTGTATTATTACCGGGGTCCTGTCCGGCACAAGTGGTAACTTACCATGGAATTTTCCATTCGTAGATATATTTAGTACTGTTCCGTTAATGAAAGCCATAAAAAAAATTTTCAAATTCGTGACCACAAAAGCAATCCTTCACTTCAACGGTCATTATTGGGAGTACGAAGCAATGGAACTTAACCATAAAAAAAAAACATTTGTGTTGGGTAAATCGGGCAATGGATCTCAGATTCTTTAATTAATCAGATTATTATACATAATAAACAAAGATTATTACTGATTATTTATTATGGTTGGTGTTTGAATTGAGTAAAATAAATTTACCACCATTTAGCACCTCATCGGTTAAGGGTAAAACAAACGGTTAAAGCTCAGAAAGATTATAACAAACTTTTTTTTTTTTAAAATTGAAAAAATAAATTGCAAAAATAATCGGAATAAGGTATGATTTAAGATTATGTAAGATAAATCAGATTAAAATATAGATAAGATAAAAGATAGACCAAATTAAAGTATACTTCGGACTTCCACCAAGGCAGTTTAGTAAATCTTAAGTTTTACCAGCAAAACTAAGCCTTTACCAGACTTCCGGCTTTACAGTAACTTAAACTCAAAAACTGCCATATATAAGTGGAACATGAATTCCTATTAGACTTGTAGTGTAAACAATCTACTAGTTGGAACGATTTTTCAAACTTTCCACAAGTTTTGAATATAATTTTAAAATCATTTCAAATAACTACATATTTAGTTACATTTATAAAATGCATTGTGGATTTTTGAAATGTTCTATTATTGTATATGTGTGATTATTAACAATTGTCATTCTCATTAAAATTGCTTTAAATATTCCTAAATTTTACATATTTCACAATTTTAAATTATTTCAAATAACTATGTGCTTGATTACATTTTTAAAATGCTTTGTGAATTTATGAAATATTCTATTATTTTATGTGTGTTATTATTACAATTGTGTTATTCATATTTAATATAATTAAATTATTCTGCTTTTATAAGCTTTATTAGTTAGGTTTTTTAAAACCAAGGTTCTATTTTGTCTGCCAAAGACGACACTGTATGAAATGGAATTCCGCAACAGACAGTTCAGATTGAGAAAACAGAAACAGAAACTCCAACAAACCTAGTTGTAACTACTATTAATTTAGTTTGCATAAAGTGGAATCTGCTTAACTATGAAGCAGAAAATTTTAAGAAGAAAATTTTAAGAGTAAAATATAAGATGGTTCGTCACAGGTGGAAACAAGTACCTGATTTTTGAAAAAATAAATCTCTAATTATTATTTTTAAAGGAATATATTTTTATTCAGGACATTGATAAAATGGGTATTGTACAATGGACTATTTGACTAAATACTATAACTCGACTTTCTGGATGTAATGAAGAAAAAAGTAGTTGTAACAGTCATATTTCAATTTTAGAACAGGAAAAGAGCATGGTGGCATAAAAAATTACTAAAATACCTTAAAATAAATTGATTTTCGTGATTTTGTTTTTAATTTCAAAAAGAATTGTAGAAGTATAGCTATAATTGCTGACTTACAATTCACAACAGAAAAATCTGTTGCAAATAGAAAAAAAATGTAAACGTTGATTAACGACTTTTTCTGAATAAAAGTATTATTTTCTATTATTTAAAAAAATTTAACAAGAAAAAGAATTTCCAATTATGTAAGTAGAGTTTAAATATTCAATTTAGTAATATGAAAAGCCCTGAAAAAAGGAAGGGATAGTAATGACTATCCTTTCCTTTTTCTTAAGTTTCAAATGATTGATTTAATATAATGAAATCTAAAAATTTATGTTTTATCGAAAAACGACAAAAAACTGTTTAGTTTACCGTTGTACTTACGGAATTAGTTCCATAGTTTGAGATAACAGTTATTGTGTCACTTGTATATAGTGTCTTTTCTATTTCTGTTCATTCAATATTTGCTGATATTTTGTTCTTCTAAACCTAAACGTATTTTATAAATTAGCATTGATAAGATCAGTATTTATTACATTAATGTGCCATAAATCTTTTGAAATTATTTTTGACTTTTTATTTACTTAGAGTAGAACATTTGTTTTATTATTACCATTATAAATATTTTATTATGACATTTATCTTATTAATTAGAAGTAGAACATTTACATTTGCTAGAACTTTAAGTAATTATTTTATCTGAATAACATTTTTTTTTCATTACAAAATTAAGAAAAGCAATTCGATACATGCATTCAAACCTGTGTTAAAGTATTTAATGATGTGTTTTAATATTGATTTAAAAGTTTATAAAGGGATTAAAAAATTCAAAATAACACATCAAAAAATTTTTATAACTCATGTTTATACATACTTTAAATTTTAAAATATACATCTTAAATATGAAATACAACGTAATAAATTTTTCAAAGGGTAAAATCACAGTCTTAAATTATTATTTTTTTAAACTCGGATTTTTGCTAACTTTTTTTTAAATTGTAATAAATGTAAATATTTTGGATAAGAGAACTTTAAAATTTATTGAATGCATATAAATTGCAAGCATAAGGTTTATATTTCAAGATTATTATTTTTTTAGAAACACGTAATAGCACGATAAAGTTGAATAATGTTTGAAAAAATACAATATTAGTTCACACATAACATTTAACATTAAATATACATATATGTGACAACAAAATGGAGTGAATCACAGCTGCCGTTATTTGTGAAGAGAGCTGTTTGAATCATTTAAAAGAAGACAGTGAGAAAAAATTGCTTGACATTTTAATACAACATTTTACACGCCTGAATTGAATTTTTACTTTATAAAATCACTCAAAGAAGTATAAAATTTTAATACAGCAAACATCTAACATCTGGCAACAATACAAGTAAATAAATCTGTTGGAAAGTAAGCAAAATTAATTTTAAATAGTCCTTCAGTTGCATTGAAAGATTGAAAAACTATTAGAGTGACTCGAAAATAATGTAGTTTTTACTTTAATTTTAAACAAGTAAACGTTTTATTAAGTTTTAAAATTAATAAAGTTAAGCTACAAATTCAGACACAAAAAATAATTTTGGCAAATAAACTTTTGACAGATTTAAGTTTTTTACTATCGAAATATAGCGGGTAATCGAAAAGCTATTACCATATAGTACTTAAGTTAATTTTTCCTAAAAAAAATTGAAATGCAATATTTAATCAAAATCATTCAAACAGATCTTCCGAAACGAGGACTTAAAAATGCATTTTTTTCCTTTAATTTTATTACTCGGAAACTATTAGACAGACGAACCTCATCCAAATTTTAATATTTTTTTCCTTCATAAATACCTAGTTTAAAATTATGTTGAGATTTGCAGTTTTTAAAAAAACGTTTTGGTCATTATTAAGTAACATTTTAAATAATAATAAAAATATTAAAAGACATATTTTTCCAAGAAACAATCTTTTTTATAAACGAGTTTTATACTTAAATTCAAAAAGTTTTTGATGCTCTCAAACGTTGAAATAAGTAAATATTTAAATTAACAATAAGGGGTCAACGTTTTCAACCGTAACTGGCGTAATTATTGAAACTTTGTTTGAAATATAGAGGCTACTCCCCCACCGCCACTTTGATAATCAAAAACACAAATCGATTAAAAAAATGTATGTTTATTTAGGGAAAGTATTTTTTGTTTCGTCCTTTAACTAAAAATTATCAATAATTAATCATGATATTTGAAGTTAACTGTAAAAAGCTTTAAAGTTGAAATTTAACGTGAAAATCCATTATATAGAGTAAAAGTTAATCCCTGTGATATCGTTTTTTGCCTCATAGTACCTATTTAGGTGCCTTGTAGCTCAGTTCATCTAAAATTTTAATGAAAAAGAAATAAAGTTGAGAAAGAAAATAGAGTTCCTTATTATTTATATAAATACATAGAACTTTCTTTTACCTTAAAATGTTTATTGTACGATTTCAAAGCACAGAATGAGCTAAAAAATAATAAAAACATTATCTTGGCACATAGAAATGACATTATTCTCTTGTCTCCCGAATATATCTTTTCAGTATAATCAAAGCATTTGAACCGTGTTAAGATATTAATACTACAGTCATAAATGTCTTTTATAATCTGAAATATTACATACATTGTGAAAACTATGTTGTTAGTTTTATTTATCTAGAACATATATTATTTTTACACTAAGCACTAAAAATAAATTATCCACATTAAACCAAATTGAAAGAGTGCGACGAATATAATTTAGTTTAGATGTGGTTTATTTATGTCTATAACTTTGCGACGCAGGATACGACATAAATCTATCACAATCAAAATGGCTGTTTTTATACAACTTCCCCTTTTCATAGAATCTCACTTACATCCATACTTTCTGGTGACGTTACAGTTATAAATACAGTTTTATGTACAGCTTAGAATATAAATTTTCGGCGATAAATAAATATACAGGCATTCAAATAGAATGAATAAATCAAATAGTGAGTCTGTATTATTACTAGGGATGAAATATGACGATCGATTACAATCGCGCTTTAGACATTCGAGAATCTGTCCGTTCTCGGGGTTCTGGGGGTGAGGAAGGGTGTGCTCGAGGTGTGACTTCCGTTCAGGGATTCTGTAACAGTGTGCAAAGCCAAATTTGCGCTACCGTTAATTGTGACACGGGTATCGGTGTAGGGCTCTGAGTAACTGTGACGCACTGTTGCAAAATTTCTCTTTTCAAAGGGATTCACGTGCTCTTCCTTCCATTTGCAGCAGCAGAACACCTTTTTAAATCCATGGCGAAATCTGTAAAAAAAAAACGAAAAAAAAAATACAGTTTATATAATCACTCAAAATGTTTGTTTAATATTGGAGTGATGCATAAGTTCCCTCGCTTTTTTTAAAAAAAAAAATTTATAACTTTATTTTTGACATTAAATAACAACAATTTAATCAATAATGTACTCTCTGTTGTCGATTACGACTTCCTCCCAACGTTCAACGAGTTTTTCGATACCTCTTCGGCAGAAATTACCCTTAAGCGTCTCGGAAAAAGTCGTCCAGCTAAGCCTGTAATTCGACGCCATTATTGAACGAAACACTGCGTAAAGCATTTGAAATCGCACGGAACAAGTCTCTCTAGCCGCTTTTGTGTCTATGGCACCTCGATTAAACGCAAAAAGAAAGTGGTGACGGAAATGCTCGTTTTTGTCGACGTGACACTCCATCTAAACGCTCTAAAAGGTAACAAAAATTAAAGTCAGCAAAAAAGTGAAATACACTATTTTGTAGTGCGAAAAATTTTCTTTCGAATAACACAAAAGATTATGCCAAAACATTTCATTTTCAACGCATATTTTTTAAATAAAAAAAAAAAAAACGCGGGAACTTGTGCATCAACCCAATACTTCATTAGTAGTTTATTTAATGACTCGTTAATTAATTTTAAGTGTCAAAAAATTTCTTTTTTTTTCATTTCCGAATTTTTTCTTCAAATCCTTTTAATAAGAAAAATTATTTTTCTTTCCTTTTCAGAGAATCATCACATCCATAGAAAATATATAGTGCATATTACTACTCGGATAATCAATCAATCAATGACTCATTAAGCAGTGATGTCTTCGCCTGCTGAATGAGTCCTTTTTTACTGTCTTTATTTACTGAAATTGCAATTGTCTGATGCATTTAATTAAAAAGAAGCTATAAAGTTACATTTATTAGTTATAATTAGAAGTTATTTAGGTAATAAGCTTATAAATTTAGAAAAAAAAGTACTTACTGTCAAAATGTCGTAAATTTTTGGAGAAAGTCTATTAAAAATTTCAGAAAAAATTAACGATATCTTACGACTTTTCTGCTTGTACTTTTTCCCTAAAAAATAATTAAACTGTAAGTAAAAGTACTGAATTCGAAAACTAATGAAGTGTAAGCACGTAATTTTTACTTGCAATGAAAATAACTTAATTAACTTTGACAATTATATTTGCAAAGTACTTCCGTTGCTTGTAACGAAAATGAAAGTATTGTTATGTATGATAATGTATAAGTGTTACAAAATAAGAAATTTAAAAAAGAAATATCATATTATTTGCTAACATATAACAACAAGGCCTTGCAGAATAGTTTTAAAATGACTTAAGACGCAGAGCTTTTCAAAAATGAACATAATTTATTTAACTTAAAATTAAAAAATATACTTAAAGTTACCTGCTATTCATCCAACAATATATTATCGGGTTATACATGGAATTGGACATTGCTAACCAATAAATGGACAAATAAGTGTGTTGAACATGCGAAAATGTTATTATCCACGGGATGTGATGTGCCAATAAGAAGTAGACGTGGTAAGGTAACCAACAGACGGCAAATATTACAACCACAACAATCATCATTTTCACTATCTATAAAAATAAAAACACAGATACGTAATACAGCTGAAAACAATTTGGAGATTGTGAAAATTCAGTATGAAACATTGAAACAATCATATAAGAGGCAACTTTTAAGCAACTTATTAAAGAAAAAAAACATATCCAAAGTAGAGAATACGGTTTTTTTTGTGACGTTGTTAAATACAGGTTTTAGATAAAAAGTGAAAATTGACTTACAGCTTTGACTTTGACTTTTTTGTTGGAATAAGCTAAAACTATGAATATTACATGCTGCGTCTGAATCAATATTTTAGAGGGGCATCGACTGATTAGAGTATTGGTCAAACCCAATACCGTATAACGCACGCGATAAGGGTTTCTTTAGGTGGCATTTCTACACTTTAAAATAGAGTCTTGGAAGCTAGTCGTACGCCTGCTACAGCAGAATTTGAAGATCGTTATTTAATGCACAAGGCTATTACACGGAGAAAAAAGTATTGCAAAATCTACCAGAATACGGTTAAATTTATCGCGTTTATAGCTCTATGGGAACACCAGAAATCTTGAAAATTTTTATTGAAGTGCTTTGAGAATGATTTTTGGTAAAATTAAGAATAAGATAAAGCTTTATAATGTGTGATGAAATTTGATAAGTGTGGTAAACTTTTGTAATTTTTACATGATATCTTAAAGAGTGGTACAAAAGGCTTCTGTTCGGTTATATTGACTTCTAAGTTTTTTATTTTGTTCTAAATCTGTGGTGATGAGAACTATAATTTTGAAAAATATAATTTCAAAGTAAACCTTTACCATATGAACGGAAAAGTGCATCTTTTACTTACCTTATGTTTTGGTTTTATAAACCAGAAGTATTTTTTTTAATCAGAAATGCCATTACCATTCAGAACGGTAATCTAAGTAGAATTTTTTTTTATCACTGTGTTGAAACCGCACTATTAATTTAACTGTAGTTAAAAACAGTACATTCGTGGAAATACAGCTCAAAGAGCTTTTGGCTCAAATTGATGAAACCGACTCCGCCTATGGTTTTGTAACCTATGGTTGCTCTCCACCTATGGTTTTTCGTTGACGAGAAATCACCGAGCCATTAGCAGAAGGAGAGATCAGAAGCTCATCAGAAATAGGGGAGATAAGTAAAGTCACACCGATGTAGTAACTGGAAGTAGGGGAAATATCATATGGAGAGAATGTAGCACTCAGAATAAACCTGCATTTATGCACAGAAGTGTCAGATTTGGTGGAATTAGAGTAATGGAGGTTTCTATCTATGGCTGAATCGACCGGTACATTATCTGGCAGAGGGTACTAACTGCTTTGCGATACAGGAATGAAATCCCCGGGCTTATTATTGTCCTTTACGGTGCAGCAATCTTGGATCAATTTATTCTCCATAGATTTTTATTAAGGCAGAGTAATGGAGGTTTCTATCGATGACTGCATCCACTGGTACATTTTCTGAGATAAGGTACTAATTGTTAAATGATATAGAAATGAAATTCTCAGGTTTATTGTTTTTTTTACATTGCAGTAATCGAGGATCAATTCTTGAAATATTTTAACTCATATTTTTTTTACCTGTTTATAAGCAAAGTATTAATAAAAAATATAAATGATTTTTTATTTAATTAATCTATAATTTTAATTTTATTTTTTGCAATGCATGTTTCTAATACATTTCTTTGATATAACCGCTTTTTTAACCCAATGATTATACCCGCTAAAATTTGGCTCGTTCTGATAATGTATTTATATTACCTAAGCAAAATATCATTACAATAGTGTGAGGAGCGTCAAAAAAATAAACCAAGTTTACTCGTTAACATGCAAATCAAAATACAAATCAAAACACCACATGGGGGGAGAAGAGAATAAAGTTGCCATTTTAAAAAAATTGAAATTAAACCGTAATACTGGGAAGTAGGAAGAGTTTTTTCAACATTTAACTTTAATTACCTTATTGCTTTCAAATTTACCAAAAAATAGATGCACTACCCATTGTAACAACATATTAAAACTGAATAGCTTAAAAATAATAGTTATTAAAAGTCTCATTATAAATACATCATTATTCTAATTCTGTGATTTTTATAAAATTCAATATCTGTTTTGAACAATATTTGCCATTTTAATTGATGTTAGCATGCTACGAAATCATATTACAATAAAGAAAGAAAAAAATCAAGAGAAGAGAATATAAATAATAATAAAATATGTGTAAA